TAATTTGTTCTTCTTCCAAGGGAGAAGTTATTCTGTGCGGATGCCGAACGACATCTGGTGATCAACCAGAATGAGCCACATCACTTTTTTTCTTGGTAACAGTGCTCGGTATCATTGTGTACCCAGTGACATGGGGCGTTCTGATTGGTCTACGGACCGTCCGGTATCCGCACAGAATAATATCTCCTTCGAAGGGAATAAATTCAAAGTTATATGATTATTAATTTTTTATTAACATTAAAATGATAAAAATAAAACCATAATTTGCATGCTATCACACATACATAGATATTAACACATCAAAATGCCTTAAATATATATTCAAGCAAATACATTTTATTTCAAAGTTGATTATACTGAAATTCAGCTAAATTCAACTTTGATTGGGGTCAGAATGGCCCCAAAATTTACTTTTTGTTTCCATTGTTGTGAACATAATAAATGTTGTTACTGTTATGCGGCCTTAGATCTTCAATAAAAATTTAATAGGCTTGCATATGCCCACTTCTCTTTCTATTTTTTTTTATTACACACCTGTTTATTTGTGCTTGCCAACTTAGGTTCCCATTAGAGTTTCAAAATTTATATAGAAAATTTTAATTTAAAGTAGCATTGGCAAAATGCAATAAAATGATGTGCTAAAATATAAATTCGGACAAAATTTATGTGCACTTGAAATCAACTCTTTGAACATTTGTTTTCTTTATTTACTTTTTAATGATAAAGAATATGAGTTTATATAGTAGGACCAAAGATACATTGATATACATAGGAGTGTTAATATTTGACACGACATGAAAATCCGACTCGAACCCGACCTGAAAATTTCGGGTTGGACCCAACCCGGTTTTGAAACGGGTCGGATTCGGGTTCCTGATTTTGACCCTTTTGGAAAAAATGGGTCTGGTTCAGGTTGATCGGTTGGGTTTCTGAGTCAACCCGAAAATCCATTTGAAATGAGCTAACCATGCTGCCCTTACTTGCCCAAGCCAGCACGCCCGCCCGCCTAAGCCTGCTCGTGCTTGCCTGCGCGCCCGCCCAAGGATGCCTGAGCCTGCCCGTAGTTGCCAACATCGGTCTGCGTTACAGCCAAAGCTTCCTGCGCCTGCCAGTGGCCACCCGTGTTGCACTAGAGGCTGCCCACACATGTCCGCGCTCGCTTGCGCCCGAGCATGCGCCCTGGCATCTGTGCCCACTCGCCATCTCGCCAGCCGCCATCCTGCCATCACCGTCCGGGTCAATTTTGACAGGTCGGATCGACCCACCTAAATGACGGGTCGGGTCCAATTCAATTTTTTGACCCATTTACATAATTGGGTTGGGTTAGATTCGACCCATTTGAACACGGGTTAGTTCCTAGTTTGACGTAAACCCGACCTGAAACCTGATTTTGACACCCCTAGATATACATAAGTGAAGCAATTGAGGTCCTACGTGTTTTTTTTAAACCCACATAAGGGCCTACACGTTAATTTAAAAAGGAAGATTACATTTCCTTAAAGGATCAACAGCTCACTAAAAATACAACATTCAAAGAAAAACCTATGAGTCATTAATCCAAATTATTACAAGAACTAATCAAAAGGAAAATTGGGGGCTAATGCAACTCAACAGAGAGAACCAATGGGGCAAAAGGAGCAAATAAAGTCAGAAAAGTCAATGCCATCCCAAAAGCCACCAACAAAGCTGCAAGACCAAGGATGAAGACCGGCCACAATTCAAACATCAACCATCTACATGAAAGAGAAAAACCACTCCAACAAAAACTAACGAGGACTAATTTCAACTAATAAAAATTAAAACCTAAGGATGCAGGGTTTGTTTTTATTCTTCTTTTTCTTCTTGCCAAATTTCACATAGAACCACTTTGTATTCACTTGCACCACATTCAAATTGCAAGTATAAGTCATACAGTTAGATAGATCGCCATAAGTCCCCTCAGAACCCCAATCCTCGTCTGATTTAGTACAAACCCAATCGGCCTGGCCAACATGAATATCAACAAGCAAATCCCCATCACACTGCAACAACCTTAACATTAGAAATAGGTGAATCATGAATAATAATTAAGGGGAGATTATTGGGAATCACCAAATATTGACCAACCACAATATCTTTCACAGCAACATGAGGGGAAGTATTCCCTAAAGGCCTACTATCCAAACCATTATAAATATCATTCACAATAACTTCATTAGCCCGAAAAACCATATAATCCAAATAAGGCGCTTTAACTAATTGATTATATTGATTACAGTAAATAGGTAAAGCCAAATCATTATCAACCATAGCATTATTACCACCCCTACACAACTCAGATGAAGCAGCAGGCAACATAGGATTCAAAGAGATGGTAGTCGTATTATTCAACTCTTCCATAGCAACAACATTAGCATTGGTATTAATCACCAAATCAACAACTAGAAATACAGTAGTCAAAGTAGTAGTAATTGTATATATTATCCAAAATTTCCACAACACCAGATGCAATCCCATCTTGATTAATAGAAAACATTGACTCATTAACAACACGATTATTCTCATTAACAACAGGAATCGTTTGGTCAGAGGATGTCATGGGACCCTCAGCTAAATGTGGATGAAGAATACGACAATTGCCTTTGGAATGCCCAAGGGACCTAAAATGGACACAAAAGGAAGGAAAATCCTCCATTATGATATGTTGTACGCAACCAAAATTTTCCAGACCTAGCCACACTCTATCGGGATAACATTTGATAATATTGAGCTCAACCAAAACACATTCAACAGAGGGTTGTGAACCAATAGATGTAGCATTATCGATTTTTAACAGACGAACAAATAAGAATCTCAGACTGTGAAGATTACAGGTGAGAAGAGATGTGGTCACATGTTTGAGAATGAAATCTAAATGGGAATAATGGAAGAATCCACACCAATCTCAAAAAAATGGAGATCATTTGGTCAATTTCATATATCAATTGTTAACAAAATAAAATCGGTGGAAAAAAATCCTGTTATAATCCAAATTATTAACTAATTTATTCAAAACATGAGAAAGATTCAAAAGGGTAACAAACAAGTTGCTAATGAGCTTGAGATTTAAGAAGAATTTTAGATAGAATTTAGGGAAGGTCAGTGACCTAGAAATTTATTGACCAAAGCATATTTGAGAGGTTTCACAAGAGAAAGGATCCCCTCCTTCGAGATCCATAGTGACGCTAAGCCATAGAAGGTAGTGGATTTAAGTTCAGGAAAAGTCAAAATGGGGGAAACATTAGATAGGGAATCAAGAAATGAACTGGATTTTTTTTAAACCATCCAGGAAGCTAGGGTCATTTAACCTGTTCACCACGCACCATTTCGGCCACAAAGAGCCAAAGGTGGACAAATCAAAAAATAGAGACAAATCCCACAAGATCCTACAAGACGAATAAAAGGAGAGAAGAAAACTTCCCTAAGAGCAAAACCGACATCGAGAGCGACGACCAAGACGAGACGAGAGCTAGGGATCGAAAGAAAAGATAAAAAATATCAAAATATGCTCTACCTTCCTACATGTTTTCATCATTTATATATGAATTTAGGGTTTGAGTTTTATTAAGCAGAGCTCAACAACTTCTTTAAACTTATATACTTGCGCGTATTATACATTGCTGAGGTGAATCGAATCTTATCTAAATTTAAATAATTATTTGTTGTGATTGTTTAATCTAAATCTCATATCATATGATTTTTCTCATTTCTTGATGCAATATAATTGGCCGCGCACATGTGTGTGTGTGTGTGTGAGATATATATATATATATATGTCTATCTCTCTCTATCTCTCTCACACACACACTCACAGACACATACATATCTCTCTCTCTCTCTCTCTCTCTCTCTCTCTCTCTCTCTCTCTCTCTAAGACATACACATGCATACACATGCGCACGCATATTATGTTGGATAAGATAAAAAATATTGTACAAAAATATGCATTAACACTCATATACTAGTTAGGGATCTTAATATATTGTCAAGGTTGTAAGTCACATTTCTTAAATCATAAGAGAAAGTTTATCTTCAACTACATATTATATTGAGAAGGATTTATTCGTATCAATATATCATCATATAACCCATATATGATACTGAGATAAACTTTGGTACTTTGTGACTCATTCAATCCTTACATCTAATGGAAACCATTATTTCATAAACTATTCATCCATTTAATGAACCTATCATAAAACCCTTGCGAGATCGGAGTTAAGTAAAACACAAAGGTAAATTAACTCATAAATTCTCTAAATCTAAACTTAGATAACCATAGTGCCTTATTAAGTTAATTAGGTCGATTTAGATCTACATCACTATAGGCCCCCATTTAGTCAAGCAAAACTCAATCCTCATTGCCTTAGTTTGTTATGCATGTTTGACCCAACTTCATTGTGATAATAAAAGAGATGAATTTGCATATAATTTTAAGTGTATCATATTTTTTCTAATATTTAATAAAGAATAACAATCAATGCTCATTTATATTTTTAAAACTCCCCATCTATAATATGTTTTATTTTTCAAAAGAAGTCGTTAAGTAAAAAAAATCATATATAGGGTCTATACTTTATTTTCATTTAATCAAGTTTGTATTATGAAATGTTTAAAAACTTAAAAACAAAAAGTTTATTTTGAAATTTATGAACATGGCTAATTGTTTTAATTTCCGCGTTCAAATTATGTCATAAAAAATAAAAATAAATAATGTAATTTAAATATGTTTTGTTTTATTTACAAAAAATAAAGCAAAACTATTTTTTCCATTAACTTGTTAACCACTCTGCTTCTCTCTCTCTCTTTATATATACATATTAATTATAAACCGCAAAAAATTTAGAAAATAGGACTGCAATTCTTAGAAAGAGGAGGGCTTTTTTGCTTTCCCTAGTGTCGTAATCCATTTCGATCCCCACCTGGCCCTATTAAGATCTTACTACAAATTCGACTTAAAACCTTTTTCAGAAACAAAGGATATCAGATACTCAGACGTCCCTCATCTCTCCCTCCTTATCTCTCCTAGACTTCATTTTCAAACGGAGGAGGTGACCAAGGAGTTGAGAACCCAAGCCAACTCCTGCTGCAATCTGCAGTGGGCTCTCTTGTTTGATTCATAACTCGAGGAGCCAAAGATTCCATGACTTCAATGCTGCCTTGTTTTTTTCCATGACGATTTGTCTTTTGCATCCTTGATTTTCTGATCTCCTTCCTCGTCCTTGCTCTGCAATTTATCAATCTTGAAAAAAAAACCTTGGAAAAGGTTTCATCTTGCAGCTAGGATTTTAGTTCTCCAAAGTTTTTTCTAATTGAATTTTGTTAGGACCACCGGAGTTTGAGCTCCCATGGTGGAAAGAGAAATGGGTGGTGATTTTCTTTTGAAGCCGAGGAGAAGAAAGGAGGAGAAGGAGAAAGATAAAATGCCCACTGTTTGGCTTTCTCTCAAGAGATCCCTACACTGCAAATCTGAGCCGAGTGAAGTTCATGAACCAAAAGCTAGAGGTCATATTGGCTCCATTCTCAACAGAAAACCTTGCAGGTCTGGCTGTTCTAGATCAATAGCCAACCTCAAGGATGTCATCCATGGGAGTAAGAGGCACATGGAAAGGCCTCCAAGTTGCAGTCCAAGGTCCATAGGAAGTAGTGAGTTCCTCAACCCAATAACCCACGAGGTTATTCTGAGCAACTCCAAATGTGAACTGAGGATTACTGGTTTCAATGGCTTCCATGATGGAGATGCTGGGGGGCTAGGTTCTAACTTTGTGGGTACTCTGAAACCAGGGACTCCAGGGCCCGGGGGACATTTGGGTGCCCGCTGCAACTCTTCTTCCTTTAAAGGGGTAGGAAGTCTTACTCCACCAAAAAGATCACCAGCTGGTTTGCTTGGTGAAAAGGAAAGCCATGGATTTGGCAGCTCAAATCTTGCTGCAACTGTGTTTGGAAACAATGGTGGTGGTTTTGGAATTCATCATGCTGGCTCTACGCCGAGGGTCTCTCATGAATCTGCTGCTGCTGGCGTTTCCTGTCATAAATGTCGTGAGTATTTTGCAAAGTTGGAGACATTGGAAGCTCATCATCTGTCGAAGCATGCTGGTAAGATTTTATAGCTTGTTTCTACATCCTTTCCTTTCCTATCTTTCCAGTTATCTTTTTTATTGGCCTATAGTTGAATGTCATTTTTGAATTGCCTCGTTCTAAGTGAATGCTTATCAGATTTAGTGATTTATATACGCTACCAGTTAGAATTCAGTCATTGTAGTTTCACGCGTTTTCGGAGATGCAATGCTGCTAGTCCTATTGTAATGTAATGCTGGTAAGATCTGCATTTAAGACATATTTGGTTGCTTTTAGATGAAAGACGCGTTTTATGAAATGAAGACTTCATTTTTCACTAGTTCGTCTGAAAGCTGAATCAGTGCATTTAAGGGATTTGTGAGTAGGTTGTGTAGTTTAAAGTTCATGTTGTTTTTTATTTTCATTGAACCTTTACAATCATCATTAGCTTTATTGTAATTATTTGGGGTTTTGCAAAGGTTTTAGGATTGATTGTCGACCTAATCATGAAATTATGAAATTTCTTTTGTTTTCTTAATTTTTTTTGTCAACAAATCACTAAGATCATCTCCAATCGAACTGCATACCACCGTATGCCGTTGGCCATTTGGTCCATTCAAACTCCAAATCTCATGCCAAAGTTTGGTAGGTGAAAAGTCTGACGCCAACGATTGGCGTCGGACTATTCACCTACGTAAAAAAATTGATTTATGGGATTTGCCGAAGAAGCGAGCGAAAGAGGAAGAAAATGCGGGAAAGAGGAGAAAATGGTTACCTTCGCAGGAGAGAAAATGTCATTCGATTAGAGATGAATTACTGCATTTTAAAGTTTTGCTACATTTTGGAGTGAAAATGAGTTTTAGGTTGTAGATGCCCTAATATGTGGTTTTAACAATTGTCGTGATAAGGGAAAAATTTTAATGCCATTTTGAAATCGTTCATTATGGATTTATGTCTTAATATTCTCTCTCTCTCTCGTTCAATATTAACATACTCTTCTCCTTGATGCTGAAGGAGTTGAAAGAGAAGTAATGAAAAGGAAAGGGAAAAAGAAATGGTTAAAGAAATTGAAATGAATTTAGTTTTCACTCACTTGTTTGGCTGAGGAAAAATTGAGTGTATATATGTTTTATTTCCTTATTGATGCTAAATTGACTTGCTGTTTTTAGTAAGGAGAAAACATGAGTAAAAAGGATGACTTGATAGATTTCTCTTCTGACTTTTCACTAAGGTTGAGTATAAAATTGTGAATAAAAAAATGGCATTCGTTAACATTTCATAGGTAAATTCAATTACCTATTTATTACATCAAAATCAAACACTCAATATAAAATTGAGAAGTAAAATGCATTTGCTCCCCTCAAATTTGCTAATGCGGCTTTTCCTGTTTTTATTATGCATATTATTGAGAATGCATAATATGTTGTTGAAATAGGAGAAATTATTCTGTGTGGAGACCGGACGCAGAATGTCATCCGGAGATCAACCAGAATGCGCCACATCAGCGGTACCGAGCCACAGTACCGAGTGGTACCGAGCAATACCAAGCCGCAGTAAAGAACAAGGAGTGATGTGGCGCATTTTGGTTGGTCTTAGGATGATGTTCGGCATCCTCATAGAATAATTAATCCATCATCACGTGGTTCTATGCGTTTTAAGGTTTGTCAAATTAGCCCACTTAGAATTCTTTGCTGTAGGATATGAAAAACAAAGAGAAAGTTTAATTCTTTCTTTTCAGCTTATCGTTTTATAATGCCTGGTATCAAGAAGCACTCTTTTTTGAACAATTTTGTCCCAAGATAAAATTAAAATCAGAAAAGCAAGGAAAGGAAGTGTCAGCATTGGAAACTCGCCATTCATTGTTTTATTCCCTGAAGGATGGAAGAAATATATTAACCTTCTTATATATCATCTTTGTAGTTACTGAACTAGTGGAAGGCGACTCTTCCAGGAAAATAGTGGAAATAATCTGCAGAACAAGCTGGTTGAAGTCTGAAAGCAATTGTGGGCGAATTGACAGAATCCTGAAAGTCCATAACATGCAGAGAACTCTTGCCCGATTCGAAGAACACCGAGAAACAGTAAAGATCAAAGCCAGTAAACTTCCTAAGAAGCATCCTCGTTGCCTTGCTGATGGAAATGAGTTGCTAAGATTCCATGGAACAACAATTGCCTGTGACCTTGGCATGAATGGCTCCACAAGCCTCTGTGTATCAGAGAAATGTAGTGTTTGTCGAATCATAAGGCATGGCTTCTCAGTTAAGAAGGAGCTCAAGGAAGGAGTAGGGGTGTTCACAACTTCCACAAGTGTTAGAGCATTCGAATCAATTGAGCTAGATGATGATGATCGTTCAAAAAGAAAAGCCTTGTTAGTCTGCAGAGTGATTGCTGGAAGGGTTCACAAGCCATTGGAGAATTTGCAGGAAATTGCAGGCCAATCTGGATTCGACTCATTGGCCGGGAAAGTTGGTCTTTACTCAAACATTGAGGAGCTCTATTTGTTAAATCCAAGTGCTCTCTTACCTTGTTTTGTTGTTATCTGTAAGCCCTGATGAAGTTTTGATACTTCCTTTCTCATTATCTTTTGTTGAAGCATTTGAAATCTATCTTAATTTTAAACCTTTTCGGTCATGGATATATGTCCCTTTTGTTTTGGGATAAACGCAAAGATAGCCACATTTATCTTACCAACTAGTTATTCAACACTCAGCCTGTCTGAAGAAGCTCTAGAAACCATTGCAAAATACAAAACAGAAAGAAATAAAGAAGTTAATCAAGTACTTTGCCTGCAAATATGGCCTTGTTACTTGGTTTTCACCTGGAAGATAACTTGTTCGAGACTTGCGAAGGTTTAAGCCAGGCTTTTAAATAATTTTTCCCCATCGGAGATCCCACTTTTGTGTCTTGTAGAATTCTTTATTCATTCCCGCATAATTTTGCTAATGATGCATGTGGGTGAAGCTATCTTCACAAAAAAGCCAACTAAATAAATACAGCATTACATTTATGAACCCTATGATTGTGGGGACTAATTATACTTGTTAAACATAATGAAAACAAAAGTTGAGTCCATTAGATCTCAATCTATGTGCCACTAATGGCGTTATGATCCTATCGCTTTCATTGTTATTAAATTTAGAGGCCAACATAAAATGATGGGGTGTGGATACCCTTAGGGGGTAATTATCACAGTTAATATTCCAATTATAACACTTTAAATCCATCAACTAGAATAAAATTAAGGCTCTATTTGGAATGAAAGGCGAATAGGGAGTGATCGAATGGACGGCCGATGTTGAATCCTATGGTCGTGCACCGTTTGTTGAACATTTGAAGGCCTTAGTGATGTCGGAATTCGGTGATCTTGGGCTCGTTGGATTCGTCTTGTTGAGCCGTTACATTCGAGTATAAGCTCGTTAAAATCGGAGTCCGTTTGGTAACTCAAATTGCAGTTTGAACCTTCCAACAGCGCTTTGGGTCCATGATTTAGACCCATTTGGGCTCGGATTGGGTTGATCTTGGTGTCGTCGGGTTCGTATTTCCAAGACGCTCAATTTGACTGTAGACTCGCTGAAATCAGAGTTCATATGCTCTCAAATTTAATTCTTGAAGTTTCCGAACTTATTTTTCCTCGAGATTCGTGCCCAATCAAGATAATTTCAGGATGACGTATCAATGTGCAATATGTTAACAGGTCCCCTCAAACTGGTGCATCTAAAAATGTTACAAGTTTGTTAGCAAGATATTGGAATCGAGAAATGGAGAGTAGTTTAGTGAGGAGGTATACAACTTGGTCTTTGGTAGATATGTGGTGAAAAGTAATGGCTTGGTCTTTGATGCATTCCCAAATAAAAGTGGTAGCCAACTTCGATGTGTTTTGTGCGGGCATGAAACACAAGGTTGTCGGCTAGAGCAATGGCAGACATGTTATCACAAAACAATGAAGTGGAGGCGGGAAGAGAACAGTTTAATTCTTGAAAAATATGGTGGAGCCATATGATTTCAACTGCAGTCGAGGCTAAAGCTCGATATTCAGCTTCAATAGAGGAGCGAGCGATGAAATTTTGTTTCTTGACATTCTAGGAGATGAGAGAGGAGCTGATGAAGTTGTAGTATCCGGTAATTGATTTGTGGTCAGTTGAGTCGCCTACCCAGTCAAAGTCGACGTATGATCAGAGGTTGATGTGAATCCCGGAACTGAGGAAGAACTGTATGAAGTGTGCCTTGGATGTACCTCAATAAGCGCTTGAGAGCTTCGAAATGAGTGTTGAGGGGATTTTGCATTTGTTAGCAAATTTTGCTGACAACGAAGGGGATGTTGGGTTGGGTGAGCTGACTAGTTGACGGTAAAAGGTTGGATTGGAAAATGCATGGGAGGTGGTAGAGGTGTGAGGTGGTTTGATCTGAGAGGGCATCGAGATTGGCTTGCAGTTGTGCATGCCAGATCGGGATAGTATAGTTTGAGCAAACTTGGTTTGATTTAGATGCAAGCCATATGGAGCATGCACCACCTGAATGCAAAGGAATTGGGAGAGAGAACCAATGTAATCATGTAATGCATGGTGAATTTGGTGTTGAGGTTGTCCAGAAGGTCGTGGATAGTAGCAGTGCAGTTGTCGGTGAGTAGAATATCATCCATGTAGATGAATAAGTACATTGAGGTGCCATTCATATAACTAGTTTATATATATATATATATATATATATATATATTTACATTTATAACCTAATTTGTATAATATTTTTATGTGTATATACTCATACACTCCAGTTTGGGACAAGTCTCTAATGATTCAACTCATTTTGTTCAATTTGAACTTCATCTACATAAAAAAAAAAAAATTACATATCATTTCAATCTAAAAGTTAGGCCCAAGAAAATATTTTAAACAATTTTAATTCAACTTTAATTTTAAGTATTTTCTTGAACATTAAGCACTACCACCCCATCTGAAGCTCTACCAAAATTCATGAATGAGATGCTCAGTGATCACCAACCACCTTCTTTATAGTTTTGGCAGAAGTTAGTACTTGGTCGTTCAGTCTTATTTAAACACGAAGTACCATCAACCAAAGCGCAATAAATTACAGCTTCAAACATGCCCATGCATTTCGATGGACATTATTTCTGAGGAAGGAAGAGTTATTATGGTCGACTGTACCTATGTACACCACATTCAAATTTCAAATATGAAATATATTTGCATCCATCGATCCGTGTGAAAAAGTACTATTTTAGGCTTTCAATATGATGAGGAAACAATGGCCGCCCCACACTGAAGAAACCGCCAAGATTATGAAAGTTTGCTTGCAGAAAATTATGGGCTTTTGTAGTTTGTTTATCCTGATACAAATCAGAGCCTTTTTAGCTATATTATGGCTAACCTTGTTTAAAAATTCACATGAAACAACTTTTTAAGGGAAAAAAATAAATGCTTTCAGCACCCCAAACAGCACCACATTTACATTTACAAATATTTCCTTTTTTTATGTTATTTGATTTATAGGCCACATGAAATAGCTTACCACACAGCTCATTTTAATATTTTGGTCGAGAGTTTAGGCTTGTTGCATGTTGGAATATACGCGGCGGTAGAATTAAAAAATTTTCATCTGAGCGTTGCACGAATATTCAGCACACAAACAGAAAAGGAAAATAAACACCGGAATTTTTACGTGGAAAATCCGAAAAAGTGAAAAAAACCACGAGGCCGCGCCCAGTTGAAAAGTTCCACTAGTGTTGCTTGAGTTACAAGAAGCTGATTTGTCCCACAAGTTATGATGATCAGATTTACAATGAATTTCTTCTGAATTGAAATTCAGTTACAAAGTTGTGCAGAATCCCGGCATGTTCGGGCGGCGGGAAGAACTCTGGCGGCGGTCGAGGATGAGCTGATTCTCCTTCCCCTTCTCTTCTTCTTATCTTATTCTCTTCTTCTTCCTACTTGGGTCTTCTCTTATGAGAAATGAGGGGTATATTTATAGTTTTTTCTGGAGTGGCACGACTTGTAAATAGGTGTGAGATCAAGGGCGAACATGGAGTGGTTGAATGGACGGCTGATATTGAATCACTTGATCATACACCATTCGTCAGTCATCCAGCGATCTTGGGCTCATTGGAATCGTCTCGTCGAGCCGTTCGATTCGACTATAAGCTCGTTAAAATCGGAGACCGTTTGGTAACTCAAATTGTGGTACGAGCTTTCCAACAGCGCTTCGGGTGCTTGATTTTGGCTCATTTTGGCTCGGATTGAGTTGAATTTGGTGTCGTTGGGTTCATATTTCCGAGATGCTCAGTTTGACTATAAGCTCGCTGAAATCGGAGTTCAGATGCTCCTGAATTTAATTTTTGAAGTTTCCGGTTCGATTTCGCCTTGAGATTCGTGCTTGATCAAGATGATATTTTGAGAATATATCAAGGCTATTAACTAAGAGGTATTGAGTTCGAGTATTGTATGTGATGTGTGTGAGTCTGCCTTAATTGGCCTAAATGTCCAAAAAAATGCTTATCTAATTGTTAAATAATTCAATAAATCTTATTATTTAAGCCTTGAAGGTAGAGATGGGTGACCTACTGAAAAGTTTCGCCAACATGATAAAACGGTAAGTCTCTTAGAACAAAAAGGACAACATTACGATAGTTAAGAATTTGGACTGTTACATCCGGAACTTACATGTTTGACCACTTTCATCAAGATTATATTTTTCTTAACTCCAATTACGGTAATGGAGAGTGGTTGATGGTCACATGTGGCTGATGTTGGTTGAGATGCGGATCAGGTAATTGCCAAAGGGGCGATATACGATAAATTTTAAATGATAATAAGCTCTTGTGCACGGTTCCTAAGCCTGTTGGGAATACTAATTTTTAATTCATACGCACGAGGATCAATCCATTAAAAATTTCAAAGATAAAATTTATGGCATTATTAGCCCATCCAACCCATTTGATAATTTCAGTGGTAACCACCCTTCTAATTTAATTGAAAAATCGTTCCAAATTCACGTGCGAGTGTGGTATTGATAGTTTTTCCTTTTAATCCGTCCAATTATTTTAATTTTGTCTCTAAAACATCATAATGGTATGCTAAGTTTCAAATACTCATTAATGGCAGTAGATAAAGGATAATGAAAGTTTATTACATGCAGTTCAAGACTATGAATTTCTTAACGAGTCTAGCTTGAGCTTAGTAACAGCTAAACGAGCTTAGCTCGATTATGCAGATACTCGACTCAACTCAACTCATTTACACCATAGATCGAACTTCTTGTTGTGAAGCAAAGGCTATGATTAGCAGGCGGGGGCTTATATAGTTCTAGAACTAGATAGTAAAAACTTCAAAGGATGCTTTCGTTAATTGCCGTTTTTAATATTTTTTATTTTTTTAATGAAGAGTAATAAATTATAAATAATATGATTTAAATTCTTAATTTTTGAAATACAGCTTTCTCATTTTATTAATGAGTCGTGGATTCTTTCACCTAAATTTAAATCATTTCGACTCACTTTCATATTTTTCTAAGATGAATGATCATAATTATATATATATATATATATATATATATATATATATGATACGTTATCACAAAATTAGCTTGATTGGGCACGAATCTCGAAGCAAAAGCTAGTT